CTCTCTCTCTCTCTCTCTCTCTCTCTCTCTCTCTCTCTCTCTCTCTCTCTCTCTCTCTCTCTCTCTGCAGAATAGCGGCCGTGGTCGGTGCTTTATTGCCCCACCGAAACAATGACCGGGGCCCGGGGGCCTCATCCTTCGGGACATCCGTTAAAATTGGAAAGATACAGAGAAGATTAGCATGGCCCTGCGCAAGGATGACACGCATAAATCGAGAAAATGCCCCCCCCCCTTTTTTTATTATTATTATTATTATTGTTTCAAAAATTAAGAAAAATAAATTTCGATCGAAAAAAAAAATAAAAAAAAAATGGGCAGCTGCCCCTTGATAGTCCTCACACGTCTATGAAAAAAAAAAGCACCCCTACCAGGCAAAAAAAAAAAAAAACGGAGTTCCCGCTCACCTTGAACTTTGTGAACTACCGGTGTTCTCGAATTCCGTGAACGGTGACCGGTCTCCGTTCACAACCCCCGTGAACGGTGAACAGGGGTACGACACACCATCCAAGGACTTACAGATTTAGCTTGGGGATTGGCCTGCCATGTGTTACAGGTCTTCAGAGTCGATTGATTCAAGACTTGGACTAGATTCAACTTGATCCTACGAGGATCATTTTCTGTTATCACTGATAACATGTCGGTTGCCGATTCGTCGATCTACGACTCAATTCCAACTCACTCGTCACACCCAACCTAAAAGGCTTTAACCCTGGTGACTTTATTGTTTGTTGAGGGTTTCACCCGGACTTTCATTGAATGGTCATTTAACCAAGGTACTGAGTATTTAATTATGGTTGGATGGGCGGGAGATTGGGGCTTGCATGGCTAAAGCAAGGGGTATAAGTGTGGAGATTTGTTGGGGTTGACTCCGTTTAGTGTGTGGCTGCTGTTCGATTCTTTGATGTGATTGCAGGTAGACATTGTGGCTCGGATTTGGATTTGGGGTTGCCTGCGATCTCATATACGTACTTATGGTTGTAAGAAGTCCCACAGTGCCTGTGAGCAGTGATCGTCGCAACTTTATCTCCCCTATGTGTGTATGTTTGGGTGTATTTACTGTGGGGGTTCGCGAGGCCGGGGCCGCGATTACCACATATGACTGGCATCGTTGGTCGGTATGGGACAAGCCAGCAGTCTCGCGACCTTATGTAGAAATCCTGCGTGCGATGCTTCGCCGCCCCAACGCCCAGAAGTTATGGGATCGGGAGGCTCGCACGTAGACGCAAACGCTTGAGGTCATTGTAGGCCGTGGGCATCACCCATGGAGAGAGAGGGTACCCCCAAAAGATCATGACCCTGGCTGGAATAAGAGGGGGCCCTCGGCCCAGTCGCCTGCTTTTTAGGGTTTTTATGGTTGGACGTTGTAGTCCATGGCAGCCGTCAAAATCAAACCCCTTGATGTCTGACCGCCACGACAGCTTAAAGCTGTCTACTCAACCCCTCTGCACAGGGTGCAGAAAAGGGTGTGGTTTTCAACTGCGCATGGCGGTTGTCCAGCGCCGAGAGATTAACCCTCAAGGCGTGTGTCAGCCGACACTTGAGTGTCGAATGCGACCCTCGAGATTAATGAGGACCGCGCGAGTATGGGTACTACATGGTACGCCATCATTGCGACTGCTTGCGTAGGTTTGCATTGCGAGTCGATATGAGTTAGCCCTGCGTTCACTCGGCTTTTATACTAAGTCGCGCGCGCGACGCCTATCCGATTTTCGCGTCAGAAAGTTATAGGATGGTTACCAAAGGGCTAGGAGCGTTATCGCGTTGTTTGTGTTGTGTCGTTTCGTGTGCGTGTGTGTGCATTTTATTTTTGTGTTCGTAGAGTGGTGTGCGCGTGGTGTGTGGGATGCGTCCTAGTCGACCGACGACGAGCCGCGCCTGGGACCTCAGCCCCCCCAGATGTCGGTTCGCGTGCGGGTCCGATAGGCGTATTACCGCGCGTAACCCCTATGCTACAACGAACGAGAAACGTCATCGGCTGGTCCACCTCTGCGATTGCAACTGATTAGCTTTCGTACTGTGGACTGGTAGCTCGGCGGGGATACGCCCACCGAAGGGAGGTTACAATTTCCGTAAGGTGGAGGTAAGTTGTGCCTCGCGTAGGCCCTATCCTGTCGTAGGGGCTCGCGAGAGGTATGGCTGGCACACTCGGCCGGAGCGGCCTAAGGAAGCTCCATTTGCGCATTCGTGACGAGGTTGGTCCAACTCCTGCGTGACATGGCCGAGAGGGTCCCGCACTGCCGCGTGCGGTGCCGGACCGATGCGCTCGACAGGTCGCGCCGTTGCTGGGGATGACGGAAGCCTGCCGTTGTCCCTGGTGGAACGACATCCGGGTATGAGAATGAGAGAGAACTAGGCACGTGAGCAAATAAGAGAAGAACTATGAGATGAACCGTATAGTAGTCTATATGGCTGTGTGGGTGTGAATGTTGATCTGATTGGTGGTTTGGCTGATGGCGTGAACGAGGTGAGTATGTGAGTGAATTCTGTGATGAGAATGGGTCTTACTTAGGTGAACCCAAGGGAGGTAGGAAGTAGAGAGAGAGATGTCTGCCAGGTCCAGAGCGTCGGGTGCTTAGGTGGTCGGTCCGATAGGATCGTGAAGGAATGGACTGCTCAGTGGGACCTTTCGTCCTATCGCTTCTTATAACAGGGGGATTGAAGCCGAAGGCAGTTAATCAAAATGCCTGAGGAGATAACGGACGGTGGGAGAAAGCTTGTAACGCTCGACGACCTCATCGATGTTATGGATAAGCGCGAGAGAGCCTCGAGCAATGTCCCGAAGGTTGATACTTTCCACTTCAAGGGAGCACGGGTGTCTGACTGGCTGGACCTGACGGAGCAAGCACTGGTGGGGCTGTCGGACGAGGTCAAGCTCCAGCGAGTCCTAAGATATATCCTTCATAGCCACCATCAGGAAGTGGGCAAGGTCGTGGATGCCGCCAATGGTAGTTGGGCGAGGTTCAGGGACATGATGCAGAGAAAGTACAGGTTCGGGGATGGCCCTCTAACCATGGCGGATTTGGAGGCCATGAACAAGGATGACTTCTCCACGATTGGGGCGTTTGTGCACGAGTTTAAAAGGAAGGAGCGGAAGGTGCACGGGATCTCCGAAGAAACGCAGTGCGCCATATTTTTGGGTCCGCTTACTGGCTCGGAGGCCTCGGAGCTGACGGGCACGGAGGGGGAAATGAGAAACTCACCTGGGCCACTATCGACAAAGGGGTGGAAGAGGGGAGCCTGGACCAGGTGGAGCAGCACCAGGTGCGGCTGCAAAGGCGCAAGAAAAAGGAAAGGGACGCCACCACGTCCGGGACCCCAGGGGTGAAGAGGATCGTCACGGACGTATTGGCAGCGCAATGGTATGATAATGAGGCGGAAGTGCAAAAGAGGGGAGTGATCGTGGCCCAAGGCCGGGCGTCGGGGGTAGTGGAAGAGGAGGTTAGGCGCGAGGACTATGGCGGAGAAGAGATGGGCTCCCAGATCCTAACCAAGGCCCAGAGGAGGCAGCGGAATTTACAAGTGGGGGATCAAGGATACGGAAAAGGGCAGGTCCCGCAAGCGATTGCTGCGCCGCCACCTGCTGTCACGACAACATCAACGACGGTCGGGCCGTCATGTATGGGGCCGCCGCCGGCTTGTGGGCACTGGGTGCCGCATTGTCAGCCTGCATCCTGCCCCAGTTGTAATCACTGCACCTCGTGCGGGGGTAGTCAAACTCACCCCGGGCAAATGGTCCCTTATGCGGGCCCAGCGGCAAGTATGGGGCCCCCGAAGTACCCTGCGGCTCAGGGTCAGTTTGTGGCCCAACCACCTCCCTCCCAACAGGCCTCGCAGGCTAGTGTGGCCGGTGGAGGAAACCAAGGACAAGGCGGACAAGGCAATGGAGGCCGAGGTCAAGGGGGTCGAGGAGGTGGCGGCCGAGGCCGGGGAGGAAATGGTGGGGGTTGTGGGGGCGGTTGGAATGGTCAAAGGGGCCAGAACCGAGCTGGTCGGGGCGACCAGGAAGGGGGCCAAGGGTATGGGAGGCCCCGCTTTGATTGGCAAAATGCCACCTGTTGGCATTGTGGCGATGTAGGCCACACTGTGCGGTTCTGCGAGCGGCGGCGGGAGGATGAATTGTCAGGGTTAATCTCCTCCTATATGGACGGGGATATATATGACAAGTGGGGTGAGCATATCGACCCCAGGACCCCGGGAGGAATCAGGCAAGAGGCTCTCCGGCGAGCGGCAGCGGGACCCACAGCACCCCCGACAATGTTTAGGATGTGGCAGGAGAAGGAAAAGCCGACCGTAAAAGTCGAGGAGATTGTAGGGGATAGTGAGGAGGTCACTCAGCGACTAAAGGCGGGGACTATAAGGGAGGAGCCAATAGTCGTCGAATCGAATGACAAGGGGCAGAAAGGCGAAGGAGAGCCGACCATAGTCCTCGTGGGGAGGATGGAAGACCTGCTGGAAAAGGTGGGAAGGTACCAGCGGAAGTTGCAGGCCCTGTGTGAAGAAGCCCGAGAGTGGGAGGCCGATCTGCCTGAGGTCTTCCTCTACGACTCCGGACCTGAGCCTTCGCCAGGACAACAGGGGTACCCAAGAGTGGCGACTGTAGGGACGGGCCCTAGGTAACGTATGGCCTATAGACCCCCCACGTCGCATGGGAGGGTGCCGCAGGCGGCTCGGACTAGGAGCCAAAACAAGGCCGGGCCTATCCAAGAGCCCAGTCAGGCACCCCCTCGAAAGGAGCCCGAGCCAGGATGTAGGAAAGAGGTGGTGGAGGTTCCGGAGGAAGAGGAAGAGGATGACGACGAAGAGGATGAGAGGCTCCGACAAGAGGAGGATCAGCGGGCGGAGCTGAGGGCCAAAAAAATGGGAGCCCGAGAGGAAGCCGAGCCAAGCCTACCCGACAGCGTACCTAAGAGGAAGAAGTACGCGGTCCGGATGGAGGAAGGTTTTGATATGGAGCGGATGGTGGACAAGCTCCTGGAAGGCCATAATGACTTGATGAACCTGAAGGATATCCTGGCGTCGGCGCCAAGGCTCGGTGGGGAATTGAAAGGGCGACTCTCGCGAAGATTGGTGCCAAATGTCCATCTGAGTACGGTCATGCCCAGGGAGGTGGAGTGGACTGAGGCAGGGACAAGGATGGATTGGAAATGTGTGGCGTGCGGGCAGGTGGATCTGGTGATAAAGAACCAGAAGTGCACTGGGATGGTGGACACGGGCGCAGAAATGAATATCATCAGGGAGAAGGAGGCGGTGATGATAGGCATGGAGATCGACCGCTCAGACCATGACATGCTGCATGGCGCCAACTGCAAGGCCGCTTTTTGCGGCACGACGTCTAATGTGATTATAGAAATTGGGAAGGTGCGAGCCAGGACGTGCTTCTTCGTCATGCCCGATGTCGATCATCCCATCCTTCTAGGAAGGTCGTTCCTGTGTCGAACGGAGATGTTGATTTTTAATAAGCACGACGGGACGATGATCCTGCTCCTATGCGACCCAGCGTGCGGGAACTACGAAGTTGTCACCTGCCGAAACACGGGGCCGGGGAGTGGGAGGAACAGGCCTAATCTCGGCTCATTCACCTTCGAGGAATCGGAGAACGAGCGAAGACGGCTTTGGGAAGTGCCCGAGGAGGAGGATAAGGCTGAGGTGTTGACATTGAGCCTCACAAATGTGAATAAGGCCATGGAGGTGGTGTCGGCTCATGACATGGCGGATCCGAAGGCCATTAAGGCATTGAGGGAGCAGGCTTTGGAGAACCCTCAAGTGGAAGAGGTGGAGTTGGTGTATCGGCTTCCAGGAGGGGGAGGAGGCCCTGCAATGGCCCAGGCCCGAACGACAAGTCGACCTTTTTTAGGGGAGGGCTTAAGCAGGGCTCCCAAAGGCGGTACAAGACCGTAGATAAGAAGTGTCGCCCAGTTCTCGTGCTCGTCGCGGAGGATGAGGAAGCCTACTACGAGCGGGAAYGAGGATTGATACGGCGYATGCGGGAGCACGCGTTGGYCGGGCCGKGSYGTATCAACGACGAGAATGAGGGGAAGTTGATAATCGGGGAGCCCGACTTCCTGTCGCCCCAGGAGAGAGCGTTGATGGTGGGACTGATGAAGAAAAAGCACCGTGCGTATGGGTTCAATGACGACGAGCGTGGGAAGCTGGATGTGGATAAGATTCCGATGATACGAATCCACACTGTTCCACACGAGCCATGGAATCTAAGGGGCGCACGATACCCAAATCCGGATGAGGAGAAGTATGTGGTGGACTACCTAGACGGCAAGATGCGGACGCACGTGGCCGACTATTCCAGTGGACCGTACGCGTCGCCTTGGTTTTGTTTTATTAAACCAAATGAGACGCTGAGGTGGGTGCAGGACTTGCAGCGGTTAAATGCGGTGACAGTGCGGGATGTGGGAGGGTTGCCGAACGCGGACGCGCTGTCAGAGTCGTGCGCAGGGAGGCCTATAATCTCGCTTATAGACCTCTACTCTAGGTACGACCAATTCCCTGTATACCAGCCAGACAGGCCCGTTGTCAGGCGGCCACAAGTAGTGCGCCGCCTGAAAACGGCAGTTTAGGGGTTTAGGCTCAGGGTTAAGTCCGCGTTTTGACAGTGCTTTGGGATGACCGGGCTGCAGGAATTATGAGAACTCAGGGTACCCCTGATTCTGCACGCACTAGATTTTAAGAGTAACCC